AAAACATTATGCATTTTAAAAGCCCAGTAGGAAAGAATTCTTATTCATCTCTGCTAGATGTTTTGTTTTTGTGTGTATGTGCTTTTGAAACAGCTAACACCATCTGCATTTTCTGTCCATTCTGTCTTCTTCCTGACCCCATTATTGCTATATTCTGCTTTAGTGTAAACCAGATTTCATTCTGCAAGCATTGATTTTGGACCTGTTGTCTTTAGTTCTTATTTATCTATTCTTTCATCTTACTGATTCCTTTCCCATGGAAAGGAATCATGATAAATCATGATAGTAAGGAACATATGACAGGAAAAACTGAAGTCATAGGGCAAAGATCATTCTGGCACATTGTAGGTTTGGGGCAGCTTTTTGGACTAAGAAGAAAAGTTTTGTTCATAATGTATGGTCTGAATGCACCCAGCTATTGTACATTTTGAGTAATCCATTGTTAATAAACCACTTCATTTTTCTCCTGATTGTTTCTATCCTAAACATATTTTTTCTCAAATATGATTAAGTTTCGATAACATTGGTTTTCAAGCAAGCCTGATTTAAGTGGCTGTATTTCAGATACAAGTTTATGATTTCGTTATAACTTTTGGTACTATCTGCAAATGAAGTTGTGTTGTTGTTTTTCTGACTAAGGAATAGTAATGGAAAATGTGTTTCATTTGACGTAAGGTTGTAGCAATGGGGAAAGATCACTTGTTGAGGGACACATCTTCCCTCTTCTCAATTTGGAACCAACCTGGGAGTAGCTTCACTAGGCCAGACTTTCCCAAGCTAGTACCAGTTCAGTTAAAACGAGAACACCAAGCCTGATTCTGCCTGGCTTTCTTTCACATTATAAATTCTTTTTTGGCTTGCTGTGGCTTGGGTGCAGTCTAGAGGGCAAGAGTAAATTTGTTTTGCTTGTATATTGCTTTAAGGCAGGATTAGACTGGGATTTATTTGGCAAACTGTTTGGATTGTTCGTATTTTACCTTGATTTGTAATAATGCTAAGGGATACAATTTAACAACAATTATAAATGGCATTGCAATATAGCAAAACTGATGTCTGGGTTTCCCAACACCTTAGTTTTCCTGATATCCTTGGTATCTTTCTCTGTTTTCCTATTATATGAATAGTATCTGTCTTTTCTCCGTATGAAATAAATTCTTTTTAAAGAGGTTCTGAAATGTCTTTTTTTAAATTCTAGTCCATCTGTGATGCCTATGATTATTTTTACAGGAATTGAGGACACTTCTAGAATGACTTAAATATAAAACAGCACATCATCATCATCATCATAATAATAATAATAATAATAATAATAATAATAATACCACCACTGACTATAGTCAGTCTGTGTGATCTTGCAGCAGCCTACCAGTGGACCACCTGGTAAGCTGTTGCAAGAAGATCGCACAGACTGACTACAAGCAGTGGCATGACAAAGTAGCAACAATGGTGCATTGGAAGATCTGCAAGAAATATAATTTGCCTGCGAGCAAGAACTGGTGAGATCATAAAATAGAAAAAGTCATAGAAAATGATAAAATTAAACTGCTCTGGGACTTCAGAATTCAAACAGACAAGCACCTGCAACATAACACCCCAGACTTAACAATTGTCGATAAGAAAGACAAAAAAGTCTGGATAGTGGACGTGGCAGTGCCTGGAGACAGCAGAATAGACGGGAAAGAACTGGAGAAGATAACAAAATGAAAATATTAAATTGCTTGGGACTTTAGAATTCAAACAAACAAGCACCTGCCATATAACACCCCGGACTTAACAATTGTCGATAAGAAAGACAAAAAAGTCTGGATAGTGGACATTGCAGTGCCTGGAGACAGCAGAACAGACGAGAAAGAATTGGAGAAGATAACAAAATACAAAGACCTACTAATAGAAATAGAATGACTGTGGCAAAGGCAAACAAGGGTAGTACCAATAATAATAGGTGCCTTAGGTGCAATCCCAAAACAACTGGAGCATTACTTGAACAACATTGGCATTGACAAATTCGCCATTAGTCAATTGAAAAGGCGGCCTTACTAGGAACTGCTTCCATCCTGCAATGATATCTGTAATACCATCAATTCAAACATCCACATCTGCCTATCCCAGGTCCTTGGTAATTGTACATATAATTGTATATATAATTGTATTGTGTAGAAGAATGAGGTTTATATAGAGGTTAAGGATGATGTATTAAGTTTTTGTATCACGAGAAACAAATTGTTAGGAATATTTACTCTATGTCCATTTTTGTTTTAATTGTATTATAAATAAAAAACTTTTAAAAAAAAAGTCAAATCCAGTCTGAACATCTGGCTGACTGCGATGATTAATAACAACAACAATAATATTAATAAAGTTGGAAGGGACCTTGGAGGTCATCTTGTCCAACCCCCTGCTCAGGCAGGAAACCCTATACCATTTCAGACAAATGGCTGTCCAGTCTCTTCTTAAAAACTTCCAGTGTTGGAGCATTCACCGCTTCTGGAGGCAGGTTGTTCCACTGCTTAATTGTTCTAACTGTCAGGAAGTTTCTCCTTAGTTCTAGGTTGCTTCTCTCCTTGATTAGTTTCCATCTGTTGCTTCGTGTCCTGCCTTCAGGTGCTTTGGAGAATAGCTTGACACCCTCTTCTTTGTGGCAGCCCCTGAGATATTGGAACACTGCTATCATGTCCCCCCCTCGTCTTTCTCTTCATTAAACTAGACATACCCAATTCCAGCAACCGTTCCTTATAGGTTTTAGCCTCCAGTCCCCTAATCATCTTTGTTGCTCTTCTCTGTACTCTTTCCAGTCTCAACATCTTTTTACATCATGGTGACCAAAACTGGATGCAGTATTCCAAGTGTGGCCTTACCAAGGCATTATAAAGTGGTATTAACACTTCACGTGATCTTGATTCTATCCTTCTCCGTAGGTGAGTAAATAAGAAAGTAAAACATTTATATTCTAGAGCTGATATACAATTTCTTCATATTTTGAGTCTGATACATGGATCTGGCATTCAATAGATCCTGGCAGATAAATTTGGATCCTAAAAAACCCTCAATTTTTATTTTTAAGCTTATAACATTTAATAAAAATTTCCCACAGCCAAAAGCTCTCTGAATAATAAGCAGTTTAAATAATTTTAAATAGCAAATCCAGTAAAATATCTGAGATCACTACAACTAAAAAAAGACCCAAGGAGTTATAATTAAAATCAATAGATTCATAGATTTGTCTCATAGTAGTAAAATATATCAAAGTATCACAAGTGCAATGGATAAGATGTTCAAGAGATGTTGCCACAGCAAGACTTCCCTGCTAATATTCCATCAAGGTTATTTTGTAATGGAATATGTCAGTAAAGGCAGGATGTATGGGTGTCCTCATCCTTTGGCTTTGTTCCTTCTTGTGCCATCTTGGGGCATTCTGATTATGTTGCCCTAATGGATTCTCCAAGAAAGCATAGAAAATAGTTACATTCAACAGTATTGGTTTCTTCCAGAAGTGCAGTCTAAGCACATGGTTCTCCCTGGCCCTCAATTTCTATTTTTTGTGCATATAGTGACTATGCAAGGCAGGGCAAGATGTACTGTTTAAGGCACAAGGCCATGTGTTGAATAACAAAGATGAGTAAAATTTGAATATAAGTCCCTTGGATTCCTGTCCGGTACTTCACTGTGTACATCTCAGCAGTCCTCTCTGTATCAGCAACTCTGATAAAAAAAAAGATCAACTCTTGCTTTCATGCCACATGTTGTGTTAGGACTGCCAGGAATAGTGTTGGCAGCTGAAAGATAGTGCAAAGCCAGCAAGTCTATACATCTTCAAGCTACCAAGGTTGAGAAATAAAGTCTAAGGTCACTGTTAGGAAGAGAAAAATAAGATTTTTTTCTGTTCAAAACTGCATTTAAACAATAAAACCAGCCATCTCTTGCCCCAGTCAATTCCCTTACCTCCATGTATAAACAGCATACTGTATGACAGTGTTTCTCAATCTCAGCAATTTTAGGTTGTATGGATTTGAACTTCCAGAATTCCCCAGCCAACCATTGGGGAATTCTGGAACTTCCCATAGAAAGGAATGCTATGACTGCATTTTTTTTTCTCCTTGCCAGAAAAATATTCCTTTAAAATTCACAACGGAGAATTCATGTCACCATGGATGCTAGAGGAAAATCTCTTCACATCCACCTGCCCTTCTTCATTTCATGTTAATTTCCTGAATTATATTTCTCAAAGGAACAAACTGATGAAATAAATAAGTGGAAATGGAAGGTGATGTTGCCTGAATGTAATAAATAAAAAGGATGATGGTACAGTTATCATATGGCCTTTTCTGGAAGTGTCTCAGCAACTGGACCACTGACTGGACAATTTATCAAAGATTTTAGCTAATACATGCAAACATATCACTATCTTACTCCTTTCATACCTGCCTTTTAGTCAGGCTTTGAAGCTGGAATACAATTCAAGTACAAAATGCTTCCTGGAACCCCAAGAAATGAATGATTTTGGCTGGACTGACGCCATAGCCCTTAAAACTTGGTTAAGTGTAGGGAGTGAATAAACAGCCCACCCCGTTGGTTAACATACTGTGATGATTGATCGATCGTGTTCTATCGATACAACCAATGACTGGACTCCCTCATGAGAGCCTCACAAAATGCAACCTCTTTACATCTCGCTTTATTCAAAGTCTGAATAGGCACCGCGCAACCCCTCCTCCCTTCTTGGGGGGGAGGGTATCCTTCTTGGGCGGAAGGCTTCCGGCCGGCTTTCGCCCCCCCCTGCCACCCCGGGCTTGTTCCGCGTGCAAGGCAGAGGTGATGCCGCTAGAGGGCTCTGGCCATTGTCAAAAAAGAGAGCGAGCGAGCGAGCGAGCGAGTGAAGCGACTGTTCTTTTCTTTGGCTGTCGCCACCGCTGCTGCTACAGCTCGCGTTGCCGCTGACGATTTTGGGGGCTGAACTTCCCAGGTCAGAACCAGAGAGAGCGAGTCCTGTTGTTGCTGTTTCTTCTTCTGCTTTCGTAGCAGCCGCCCGGAATCGACCCAGCCCGAGCGCCAGCGAGCCTCTGGATTGTACCAAATCGGGAAGCGTGGCTTTATTTATTCTTCTTTTGATAGGCGAGATTCCCAAGTTGGCAGCTCGAGGACTTAGAGTCGTCTAGGTAACTCGAGGTGATTGCGAATAGGCACTGGCCAAAGTCCAGCCAGGCAACTTCCTCGGTGAGGGAGGGAGGGGAGGGAGGAGAAAAAACCCTATCACAAACGAGAGGAGGCAACGCATGGCACTTTCTTCAGCGCCTCTTTCAAACAGCAGTTGAGTCCCCCCCTTTCTTGCCGGTATGAAAATCCGAGGGCTTCCTAGACTCATAACAAGAGACCTAGGTTAGGAGTGTGAAGCAGCAACAGCAACAAGGCTTCCAGGACGTGCGAATGGCAGATCATAAGGGTGGGTGGATGAGTAGGGAAATCTCTACACACTTCTCCCTGGAAGGGCTTGAGTTACTACAGCCCACATGCTCTGCAGAAATTCAGTTGGTGCAGTTTTCCTCCTAATAGCTCTTCCAGGGCTAGGAAAAGCTTCACCTGTTGAATTTCCAGATGACCTTAACAGTGTAATAGGATGTGCAGCAAGACAGGTAAGTAGGACTGTTGTAGGATTGGCACAGACTACAATTCCCTATATCCCTGACAATCAGTAATGCTGACTAGGTTGATTGGAGTTGAAATCCAATAACTAGTGGAGGGGCTGTTCATCCTAAACTTTATAGGGTGGCAAAACCAAAGGCCAACTGATGTGAAATCAGGTTGCTAGTACCATAACTGAAAGGCCCATCTCATTATAGGCCAACAGAGTTGGTTTTGGCTTCTGAGCAGGGAAAATTATTCTTTCAGAGGCCAGAGCCTTCTGCAGAAGTGACTGATGTATTTTGCTGAGATACAATGGGCCCTTCTGGACCCATGCCAAAGACCTGTCTACAGGGACATTGTGCAGGACAATTTTGGGACTCTACTGTCGCTAGGTAAGGACTTTTATTTTATTTCTTTTCTTTTTAAATTAAAAAGAATAATAAGACTATTGTAAACTGAGAATCCCAAAATGAATGGGCATAATTGGATTAGTTTTTGTTGCTTTCAGAAAATGTTACGCCTCTGAAAAACAGAATTCTTCATCAGGCGGGACAGACTCTGTAACCTAGAAAATTGCATTACACTGTGTCCAAAAATGTCTCTCCAGTAAAATCATCTTCATATGCCTGTTTATTACAAATAATTAAAAGAAACTAAGCTCGGGATTATTCAAGTGGTGATAGGTGAAAAGATAAACGTGAGCATATTTCTTGCCCCTGTATATTTATATAATTTCATAGCTTCTGAATCATTTCAAACATTCTGATGGAATTTAGCAGAATTCTGCTAGCTAGCTACCAAATGTCAGGAACTGGCAAAAAGAGTTAGCACTTCCTGTCTGTGTCTTCTTCTGTGTCACAGCTCAGATTTGGATATGATAGCCTAGAAAGTGTCTAAGTGATGACATTAGCAGAGTGGAAAGGTGTTTTTAAATGATCTCTGATCCAGTTTTTCCATAGAGCCTGGGATGGGCAATACAACTAAAAATAAACCTGCACCTGGTAAAGTATCCACTACTTTCTTTAGAATAACATAGCATGAATGGCTGTAACTTCCCCATCACCACTGCTGGCTTCACTCTCTTTCTTTTGGCAGACGGAGGAACCATGAATTCAAATTCACAGCCAGGTGGGCCTGAGGATGTGCAAAAGCAAGTCCAAGGGCGGTCTGAGGGCTCTGCTTATGGGGGACAACCTCCAGCTGGGCAGCAGAATGAAGAGGCAGGGAAAGGATGGGTCAAGCCACCTCTTTTTCCTCCAGTGACAAAAGACAACACCACTGTCCCACCCCATGGAATTCATATGGGGCCTGGCCCCAGTCTTTGCATCCAGTGTGGAGAGAGCCTGGCCCAAACTCGGCAAACCCTTGCCCAAACTCGGCAAACCCTTGCCCAAACTCAGCAAACTCTTGCCCAAACTCAGCAAACCCTTGCCCAGCCTAAGAGATCTCCCCTCTCTGCTGATAAGCAATACCCCTGCTCTGATTGTGGGAAAAGCTTCGGTGTCAGCTCCCACCTCACAATTCACCGGAGAACTCACACTGGTGAAAAGCCCTATGAGTGCAATGACTGTGGAAAAAGTTTCAGCCAGAGCTCCACACTTGTCCTCCACCGGCGCATCCATACAGGAGAGAAGCCATACAAGTGCACAGATTGTGGGAAGAGCTTTTCCGTTAGTTCCCACTTGACCAAACACCAACGAATCCACACGGGAGAGAAACCATACGAATGCCAGGTATGTGGGAAAAGATTCAGCCAGAGCTCCACCCTCATTCTTCACCAGAGGATCCATACAGGGGAAAGGCCTTATAAATGTGATGAATGTGGTAAGACCTTCAGCGTCAATTCACACCTCACCATCCACCAGAGAATCCACACAGGAGAGAAACCATTCCGTTGCATGGAATGTGGGAAGAGTTTCCGACAAAGGTCTGGTCTTAGCACACATCAGAAAACTCACATGATGCTTGTGAGACCTTATAAATGCCCATCTTAGAAAGCCTATCTGCAAGTACCACCAAAATTCTCTATCTCACACACACACACACACACACACACACTCAGACAAAGAGTAAAAAAAAAACAAATTGGCATAACAATTTTGTACTGGGAAAGGCAGACTTCAGGAACTCAGTTTAGATTTTTATAATTATAATTAGAAGAAGTCTTATACAAATGTGCATATTTTGCCTTAACTTGCTTTCTTTGTGATAGACACACTGTTGGATAGTGTGGAATTTTGATAAGACATTTGAAAAAGTGAGAAGTAAAGCTCTCAACTCAACTGAGTAAAGATCCAGAACTTATATCTACATGCTAGAACAGGGATGAATCAGGCCTACTTGGAAGTTAGATTCCTGGATTAAATCCCTGCTCTCTGATATGCCTCTACAAGTCCAGCTTCCCACTGCAGAAGGCTAGTCTAGTTCCTGACACATTCTGCTCCATGAAGAGACTGGAGAAAGAACCTTACTGAAAATTGTGGGAAACTTAGGATAAACTGAGTTGCAAGGATCTTGCCCCCAGCCCACAATAAAGATACAGAATCATGTATCTTTAAAAAAGTAGTTCAGTTTCCACAATATTGAATACTGAATTTACCAAGTAGACCTATCACAATTTATCATTTTTGGGTTCATACTACTCTTTCCAATATTAGTTATTTGGAGAATATCTGAAACATGATTACACATCCTAATACACCAAACACACAGTGCTGGTGGCATGATGGAATCATCCTCTTATCATTTATTCTCCTTTCTTGGGCAATGGCTAAGTAATTCTTAAAGATTCACAAAGCATTTTAAAAGTGAAAGGACACAAGGGGGAAATGTGAATACCAGCAACTCATATCTTCACATCAGTGCTCTTGCCATTTTGTAAACAATTTCTTTAACCTAGTTGTTTCCCATTTCTATCATTTTTAAATGGTTGTTAGTGTAAGTGTTAGCTATTTTCTCTGTTGTATGACTGTGAGCCTCATCTGGGCCTGTGGTGTTAATTAAAAAGTGGGATAGCAATTTAATCAGTCATAATTAATAATTTCTTTCTGAAACAAAGATGATCAGGGGATTGGAGACTAAAACATAAAAAGAATGGTTGCTGGAACTGGGTATGTCTGTGTAATGAAAAGAAGGACTAGGGGTGACATGATAGCATTGTTCCAATATCTCAGGGGTTGCCACAAAGAAGAGGGAGTCAAGCTATTCTCCAAAGCACCTGAAGGGAGGACAAGAAGCAATGGATGGAAACTAATCAAGGAGAGAAGCAACCTAGAACTAAGAAGAAATTTCCTGACAAAACAATCAGTGGAACAACTTGCCTCCAGAAGTTGTGAATGCTCCAACACTGGAAGTTTTTAAGAAGAGATTGGACAACCATTTGTCTGAAATGATATAGGGGGTTGGACTAGAAGACCTCCAAGGTCCCTCCCAACTTTGTTCTAGTCTAAATGTTTGAAGGAAATACCCCCTCCCTAATTCATTATCCAAAAAGGATACATTTCCTCTGTGTTTTAATGTAAAAGAAAAAAAGAGTAGGCTAAAACTTAACACAGAGAAAGACATTTCTTGAGATCTGGTTTGTCCTTTTGAAAAACCCAGAATTACAGAGTATCAAAGCAGTGTCTCCTGTGCTAATTCTGGTCCACCTGATTTATCTTCAGTTTCTTGCTTTAGCTAAGTGGCATTCTAAATAGAAAGAATGTTGAATACACCTACATTTATTTAAGCTTAAATAGGATCTCTGAATCTGTCTGGAAAGCCTGTCTCTTAACTGCATTAGACACATACGTCATCTTTTGTCAACATGATGCAGACCAAATTACTTCTTCCATGTGTCTCCAAAATAATGATAGCTGGAAATTACAGCAATGAAAATTCAACATAGGTGGAGACCACCTGTTTGAAAACAACTAACATACGTGCTACTATCAGAACTAGCAAAACTTAAAGAATTCCTGCTTTGTTTTCTGTGATAACCTATTGTTACATTTTTGTAGCTTTAGAAGCTTTTTCCAATTATCAGCCATTTATATTTCTTCATCAATAAATCTCTTGCTACAGTCTGACCCTGTAATCTGACTTCACTAAAAAAGAATTAAATTTCAAAGAATTGCATGAAAGCATTTTGTGTGCTTATTTTTAAGTGACTGCCAGCAGAAGTATTATTTGTATACAAGATTTGTATCTGGATTTTCTACCCGAAGCAGCTAGCAATCGAATAAAACAAATAGACACAACTGAAAAAAGCCAGTAAAAATAGAATTTGATTGTAAACATCAATTTAAATTACTCACATAATTACTGTACTGCATTTAATTTGCTTCCTCATCCAAAACAAAATATTTAGAACAAATGTCAAGAAGTTATCTTTAATGACACAAATGCACTGATCATTTATTCTGTGAGTGATATTGCATAAATCAGCTCATAACTTAAGAGCTATTCCTGCTCTTTGTAGCCACCTAGTAAGTCTGGATTTTTGCAGCTCAGACACAATTGAGATGAGAGCTATAATTGATGTTTTCATTACTTAAAAGTAATAGCCTTTCCTTTCTTGTAATGGAGGTGACAAATCTCATCTTAATATACATTAAATATAAATTTTCTTATTTCACTTTCTATAATAAAACCAACTCTATAAATAATGTGAGGTGTAGTTTTAATAATTTGTGTATTGGAACAGCTCCTTTTTCTAATAAGTATATTGTGGGTGGAGAGATAAGAACATGTGATTATGTCTCTTTAAACTCCCAAAAAGATAAAAATACATGCCTTCCATATATTCTAAATTATAACACCATCAACTTCAATCATTCATTTAATGGTAAGAGTTGGTCAGAATTTTAGTCCTTAGAATATACAAAACAGCCCCCCCTGATAAAAGTAGAATTGTTATTACCTCTGATGGAAACACAAGTCTACATGGCAATTGTGCATAGGAATACTGTAGAGCAGGAGTATCCAACCTGGATGACTGAGGAATTCTGGGAATTGAAGTCCACAAGTCTTAAAGTGGCCAAGGTTGGATACTCCTGCTGTAGGAGAAAAAGCTAATCATTGTCAGAGTACTTAGTTGTGGATGCACCTGGAAAAAAAATTCTATACTAGATTTGGAATAACTTGTCTTTTAAAGAATGATCAGACTATGTTTCCATGTTACCAACTGACCATGTCAATTTCCATAATATTCTGCAGCCCATATTCAGATCTCAATTTAGGAAATGGTAAAATAATATTTATTACTTGTTGATCTCAGCTTCAGATTAATTATCAAATTAACCTAAAAGGAAGCTTACTCTGAATTTAAGATGAACCATCTCCCTAAAATGTACATTGGCCAGAAAAAAAAAATTAGCTTGTCCCTTTTATTGTATTTTCAGTGCATTTATGGTGACATTTCATTTTAAAGGTAAATTATTGCATAAAAATAAAAATGTTGATTCAAATGAATACAAAACTGATATCGGATAGTTTCTCAGGGCACAGACCTATGTAATTTTCTTTCCCCATGGATATGGCATTATTACAAATACTATTTTCCGCCTTTTTAAAAATAGCAAAATTCTTTTTGCATTTAATACTGTCCACTCTCACAAGTTTCCTGATGTAACTCATGGGACATGTAAGAAAATGGATTTTTTAAGCAATGGCAAAAACAACAACAACACAATGTTCAGGAAAGCAAAGCTAGGAAAGAATAGCAGAAAAATGGCTGGCACCATGGGTTTTTCTGGGAGATCTCATGGCTGTGGTGCTCCAAACATGAATTCTATCTACAGTATAGATTAAATACAATGTTAAAAACCAAAATTCAACTACTTGTTTTGGGTGAAGGAATGTGGGAGATCAATTTCAACATTTTTTGTCAGCCAAACCAGAGGAATATTTTAAAGAAAAGGGATGAGAAAGAATTACCTAAAAGTAAGTTCTATTGAACAAACATGTCAATTTCTATGTAGTTGTGAATAGTAGTGAAAAAATTAAAAAGCTATTTTAATAGGTATGGAAATTGAGCTATAAAACCATCTCATTTTCTAAGAAATGTTCATTCTTGTTTCTTGGGAGGTGCCATGGTCCCAATGAAATTCTATAGAAATTAATGTAAATCACATTTTATCTATTGTTGCCAAGTTACACAGCCACAATGTATCAGATTACAGATAAGCAAATGTGGCTGACTTTTGAAAAAAGACTGGTAATATGTAATTCCTATTTGAAAGCTTTTTTAAAAAAAATTGAGAAAATGATAACGATTGTGGAAAATATTCAGATGCATCTAGCTGTATATAAATTAGACTCACAAAAGGATTGTAATCTGAAAGCAGTAGATTTGCTGGAAAGAAATAAGGGCTCTACAGACTTAATGCTTACAGAATTAAGAATTAACTTGAGTTGATTCTGCATGCCTCTTTGAAGTTCAAGCCTGCATTCTTTTACAACAGGGGTGTCAAACTCGCAACGTCGCATGACATGTCGCGACATATCACGACTTTTTTTTTCATTGCCCGGCAATGGGGTGGGCGCAGTTTCAGCATGAAGCATCCGGCCTGCAGTTTGACACCCCTATTTTACAGCAACAGAAACCTGACTGAGTAGACAGGTGATAAATTGGCTTTTCTTAAGAAAATTAAAGGAGATTGGGGAATGGATTTATCACATTTAACTGCAAAACAATTTCATCTGGACTTTTTGGGGTAGATAGACTAACTTTGGACATTGGGCCTATTATATTTAACCAGAGAACAATTGACTGAGCTAGTATTAAGAACCAAATATAGGTATTTGATCCAGAATGAATCATGTTCTCTTCTGGAATGATTTGGGATAGATAAATATTTGGAATGGTAAGTTTTCTACAAATTGATTACAATAATAGTTCGTTAACATGTTTTGAAATTTTAATGTTACAGCCATGTGTTTGTATAACTATGCTAGTATTTCAGAATGCTTAATATTAGTAAATTATTATTAGTAAAAAACAGTTTTTGTTCAAATGTTTTATCTGCTTAGCCGTTTTCTTAAACAATGTTTTCATTTTGTACTGTGATTGAATGATCTTGAAGGTAAGACTAAGATTTCTTCATCAGTAAGCATCCTAAATGATCTTCAACACAGTGCATACAATGTGGCCCATTAACAGAATAACAGA